TATTCATAAGTTTGAATTGTATTTTTGAGAAAGTATACTTTCTTTCTACACCGGCTAAGTTTTGTTCTTCATTTTTATATTCTAGCCGTTGTGTAGAATCCTCTTTTGTGTTCTTCAAACACACCTTCTTACGGTCGAGAATAGCCGTTAAATTCTCACGTTGTAACGGTCAAGGATAGCCGTATAAATCCTTGGGTAAAGGTTCAAGGATAACCTTTGAAATCCTTGGGGGAACGGTAGAAGATAGCCGTTGAATCTTCGTTGTAAACGGTTTGAGATAGCCGTGGTGAAATCTCGGAGTGAATCCTATTGGCAAGGGTTGTTTGCCAAACTAGTGCGGTGCTTTGACGGAGTTCAAGAGACCGGGACTTAGTGGATTCAGAAATCCTTGAGGAGGAGCCTCGAGGTACTGGAGTAGGGAGTTCCCGAACCAGTATAAAATCGGTGTGCATTTTATTTACGCTTTTATTTCTGCGTTTTATATATTGCTTCCGCATTTGCCAATACCGTTTTTATTAAACTCCGAAAAGATTTTAAAACGCCTTATTCACCCCCCACTAAGGCGTGGGCACAACGAATAAACCGACTAACAATTAGTATCAGAGCGGTTTCGTAGTTGAAAGTGCTTAACCGCATCTACGACAAAGATCCACTTGTTGTGTCCCTTTTTAAATTTGAATTTTTAAATCTCAAAATTTTATTTTCCCTATTTATTAAAATTCAAATTTATTGAAAAATGGCCCAAATGGATTCCCAAAGCATTCACCGCCCTCCGTTTTTCAATGGCCAAAACTATTCTTATTGGAAAATGCGGATGGAATACTTCATTCAATCTATTGATTTTGATTTATGGTTGAATGTACTTCACGGGCCGTTTGTGCCGAGTAATGGTGATTTTGCAGGATTATCTTCGGAGGACAAGAGGAAACTATCCATGAACGCAAAGGCAATCAATATTCTCCATTGCTCTCTCGGCCCCGATGAGTTTGCACGAGTATGTTCATGCAAAACGGCCAAAGAGGTATGGGACTTGCTACAAGCTACTCATGAAGGCGACGTCTCAACTAAGCAAACAATGATTGCCCTTGGGAATTCGGAATACGAATCCTTCAAGAAAGGGCCATGTGAGACAATCCAAGACATGAACAAGAGGTTCAACGAGATTGTCAACAAATTGAGTTAGTTGGGTAAGACATATACTACTTCCGAGCTTAATACGAAAATTCTATTTTCTTTACTTAAAGAATGGCATAGTAGTATAGTGGATTTATTACCCAAATGTGATATGGCCGAAACCGCCCACATTTGGTCTTCCTTGTATTCTCACGAACTTTTGTTGAGAAAGATCAAAGAGGAAGAAATGCGTGAAAATCCCAAGCTTACCAACGCCTTCAAAGCTTCCAAAGACTCGTCAAGTGAAGAATCAAGCGAGTCAAGTGATTCAAATGACTCAAGCTCCTCGGAAGAGTCAAATGACGAGGAAGATGAAGAGAAGGCGATGAGAATGAAATATACGGATTTCCTCAAATGGAAGAAGTATGTGAAGAGGAAAGAAGTATATTCAAAGCCGAAAAAAGAGCGGCATAAGCCAAGGTAAATTCTTCTCACTTATTGGGATAAGATATTTTGTTTTGTTTTAATTATTTTCAAAAATAAAACCTTATCTCATACGTGCTTTTATTTGCTTTAGCCTTGGTTTGCATAATTAAATAATTTTTTTAATTCATCTTTAAATCATGCTTTTTAGAAAATAATCCCTAAAAACCCCTGGAAAAAATAAAATTTTTAAACTTGCATCATTTTAGGGGGAGTTTTTCATTTTTAGAGGGAGTTTCGTTGTAAATGCACCTTTTGCCCAATGATCTCAAAACTATCATTTTTTCTAAAAAAATTCATTTTGATAGGGGGAGGGTTTCAAGAAGTTATACATAGTTAAAATTTTCAAAATAACCTTTTTTGATTTTGACAATAGGGGGAGAAGATGTATACTTCAAAGTGGTGCATATGCAATTTGACTTGAGTGCATTCTTGTGTAACTATTTGCATCAAAATCAAACTTTTAATAAACACAAGAAAAGTTCAAAGTGAGTATTTTCAATATCCTTATTCTTAGGGGGAGCTTGCTTGCATCATTATTTTACTCCCTCCTAACTCACTTTGAAGTATATTGTTTGTCAACATCAAAAAGGGAGAGATTGTTAGCCTTGGTTTGCTAAGCCTCATGTTTTGATGTTAACAAACAATATAAGAGCTTAACGTTTGTTTAAGTGTTTCAGGTAAAACAAGAATCCATTAAGATTCGGTACTCAAAAATGAAGTCGAAACACTAAACTAGCGTAGAATATAGGTAGAAACCAATGTAAGGATATGACTTTATATACCTATATTCACAAGCTCAAAAGCACTCACAAAATATGTTTAAAACCATCCCATAAACATTTTCAAACATCTAAAAGGTTTTAAACTCAAACACGAAGGATTACGGGAATTTTGGAAAAATCAGGACAGTGGCACGATACCCCTAGCGGTACCCCAAACGGTAGGGTATACCGCCTACACGGTACCCCTATACCGTGCAACGGTACCTTGGTACCGTACGGTAGGCTGAACCGGCTGGGTACCCCCGTCCTAACCAAGTACCGCCAGAGGCAAACCAAAGTTTTGTGCTACACGGTACCGAGGTACCGCCTCTCACGGTACCCCCTACCGTACGCACGGTACCATGATACCGTGTGAACGGCACCTGCCTACCGGATCCGTTGGATTACTGTTCCTGATTTGCAATTTTGAATTAAATCAACCCTAATCACCTCCCAACGGCTAATTAACATCTTCCACTATAAATACAAGCCTAACCCTTCATATTTCTTCAAGAAACAAAGCTCTAAACATCCTCTCTTTTTATTCCAAGTGTGTTCATCCTTCTATTAATTAATTTCAATATTTTGGCTCTTTTAAGAGCCTTAAATTCCTGATTTTTATACACACACTTTGAGCTTGTGTTTCTAGTTATATACTCTCATATTCATAAGTTTGAATTGTATTTTTGAGAAAGTATACTTTCTTTCTACACCGGCTAAGTTTTGTTCTTCATTTTTATATTCTAGCCGTTGTGTAGAATCCTCTTTTGTGTTCTTCAAACACACCTTCTTACGGTCGAGAATAGCCGTTAAATTCTCACGTTGTAACGGTCAAGGATAGCCGTATAAATCCTTGGGTAAAGGTTCAAGGATAGCCTTTGAAATCCTTGGGGGAACGGTAGAAGATAGCCGTTAAATCTTCGTTGTAAACGGTTCGAGATAGCCGTGGTGAAATCTCGGAGTGAATCCTATTGGCAAGGGTTGTTTGCCAAACTAGT